GTATCTACTTGAGTACCTGCTTTCAATTTTTTTTTGGATATACTTAGGATTGGAATTGCTGGGTCATATGGAGCCCTGTTGGTGCAGTGGTTAAACGTTTGGCTGCTAACCAAAAGGTTGGCAATTCGAATTCACCAGCCGCTCCTTGGAAACCCTATGGGGCAGTTCTACTCTGTCCTGTAGGGTTGCTATGAGTTGAATTGACTCGACAGCAGCAGGATGGTAGTTCTATGTTTAACTTTTTGAGGAACTGCCAAATTTTTCCACAGGGACTGTGCCATTTTACATATATACTTATCTTTTATACCAGAACATACTACTTACTCTTTTTGGAAGTAGAAGGAAATACAAAATATACGTAAGTAAATGTTCCGGTGCCACACTCCTCCCTGGAGCAAATTTCACCTGTATTTGCAACTTCAGCCAGCCCTGTGGTGGTCCAGGCCGTTGCTGACATCAGTGGAGTCAGATCAGAGTGGACTCGAGCCACCAACCTTTCGGTTAGCAGCTAAGTTCTTAACTGTTTGCACCACCCAGGGGCGCCGTTTGTGGCTATGGAGTGCTTATTAGATACCACCTGCTGTGCTAGGTGCCGGGGACCCAGCAGGAACAAAGGCACACCCTGCCCTTGCCCTTGTGGAGGCTGCAGTGGGCAAGAAGCCAGACATCACACACAGCATCACTTTTTACTGTGTCCCCAGGTTTGCTGGGGAAGGAGAGGGAGCCGTGACTGCGGCTCGAAGGGGTAAAAGCTTGAAGCTGGGCCCTGAGAAGACTTCTGTAGCCCCCTGACATCTCATCTCCCCTCAGAGTAAAGAGGCGATTATTGTCTGAGCCCGCCCTTGCTGGCTGCTGGCCTTCTAAGACAGGGGGCTTCTTTAGCAGCGCTGATATTGCTGAGCCGGTGGTGGTTCAGTGGTACAATTCTCGCCTTACATGCGGGAGACCTGGGTTTGATTCCCAGTCAATATGCCTTAAGTGCAGCCACCGCTCGTCTTTCACTGGAGGCTTGTGCGTTGCTGTGATGCTGAACTAAGACAGACTAGGAAGAAAGGCCTGGCAATCTATTTCCAAAAATCTTCCAGTGAAAACCCTGTGGATCACAATGGTCCCATCTTCTACCAGTCACGGGGATGACACAGGAGCAGGCAGTGTTTTCTTCTAGGGAGCTGAGGGCTGACTCGATGGCAGGTAACAAATAGCAAGAGACTCTCCAATGGCCTGATGTTACTTTGCAGACTCTCCCAGGAGGCACGGGCGTCCAGAACTTAGCTCTTTCCTGTCTCCAGGTCAGACTTTAATCAAAGGCTCCCCTCTCGTTTGGGTTTTTCTGGCTGTGTTCATTATGGCAGTGCAGCCTCCCTCCCATAGCACGATGCATTATACCAGCCTTAGCCTGGGAACGATGGCTTTCAGATCATCACCTTTATTTGTGTTCCCGATTGCCTGTTGCGTGACTCCTGTAACTGGATATCAGGGTTTGCTGTTTTTTCACTGTTTATAGTATTATTTTTAAGGACTGCCTTTTACTTCTATTAGGAAGTCAGGTTTACAGAGATGGTATTGGGTACCTAATTTTTCTGTCTTTTTCAGACTATTAAATGGGACAGTTTTGTGGGTAAATAGAGAGTATACATTTTCACGATCATGCTTAATAGCAGTGGTCATGTGAAAAGGGATAATTTTCATACGAACTCTTAGAATAAAACCAGAGTTGACTTTTCTTTTACACTTGTAGTCATTTAGTCATCCTTTCAGTCAACAAATAAATTCAACTCCGACTGTATACCAGGGGCAGCTTTGTCATAATTAATGCAGTTAGGAAGGGAAAACAACCCTAACCTTTGGTCTGTGTATCCACATGGGAGAAATAGTGATCTGTTTTGAGTACTGTAGAGAAAATGCAACCACCATAATAAGGCTTATGGTAGAAGTACTGTCAGAGCAGAGCCTTTCCGCTGCTCTGCTCGGCTGGGGTGCTTCAAGTAGACACTCAGTGTTAATTCATCCCTTTGCAGTTCTTTTACGTTCCAGCCTCACATGGGCTTATAAACCATAAGGGCACTGGACGGAATGATGTGGCACAGGGCGGGAGTGCTGGTAATTGCTTCCAACCCCTTCGTGGTCGAAGAGGTTTGTTTAATGTTGGCTCAGGTCGCCTGGCTGGCCTCACTGGTGTCACCATCGTCATAGAAACCAGGATGTTTCCCCAACAGTCCAAATTGAGGGTTAGGGAGGGGATGGGAAGGAATGTGAATCAGACTGCATCAATACCACCACATGATAATTTGGCATTTTTCAAGCGTCTATCTAACAAGTTGTTCAGAGAATGCTCATCCTGTCTCTTCCATCCTAACAATCCCCACATTCAAAAAGGGTTAGCTGTTATTGCTTGCGTTTTGAGGTTCTTTGGAGAATAAACAGGAACAAAATCCCAGTTCTATATTTTCCACCAAAACCATCTCCCAAAGGACTTCCAAAATTTTTTTCCTTTTAAGAAAAATGAGAACTTGCAGCTAAATATCTATATGTATTTGTTACCAAAAAAAAAAAAAATAAAAAAGGGTTAAATTCCAAAGGGAAATACTGTAAACCCTGATTCCACTCATAACAGTGTCAGCTGGAAAATCAAAAAAGTCAAGGTGGTTTTGAGGTTAACGATTTGTAAATGCTGCAAAAGTGACCAGTTCCAAAAACAGCATTAGAAGATCTGAAAGACCCATTACAACGTGGCGCGTGTGATGTGCCACCTCTTCTGACGCAGCAGAGTTGAAATAACAATGACCAGGAAATCTGTGTCTACTCCTTCTTGCACAGGCACCTTCTCCATCTTTCTCTACTGCTCTTACTCTCGCTTTGAAGAAGCCCGTTGATCCATATTCTATCCTTTTGTGCTTGTGAATACATTACGGACCCTGCATACATGCGTATATATGACCTTTCACATCTGCTGAAATCCTTCAGGAAGTCTGTCTTTTGGCATTTAATGACTCACTTGAATCTTGGATCAGATTCAGATGTCTGTTGGCAGATTGGCAGTCTGCGTGCCATGTTTTCCCGTGCTCCACTCGTGTATAAATAGCACGTTAGTGGGAGGGCTTTAATGTTTAGCTGTCTTGAGGATGACAGTGACTGTAAGAAGACATTCGTTTTTTTCTTCTTCACTAACTCATAGTCATTGATGATTTCCAGTAGAAAAGGTAGAAGCGTTTCAGAGCCAGAAGAGCCTTTGAGAGCTAGTCTGCTCTCTTGCTTTTACATTTGAGGAAACTGAGGCTCAGGAATGTAGGGCCATGTGTTCTGGCCCATATATAGGAAATCACCCATATGCAGATTAGACCCTGCGAGCAGCTGGGTGCCAAAGTTACAACCAATGATGGCTGTCATCCTAAAAAAGCACCTTTGATGCACCAGAAGCAAAATTTATTAATGTAAAAAGTATTCATGCAGTTATTGAAAGCCCTTTATTAACTTATGCCTCTACTCAGTGTCTGGAATTAATAACATATTAATGAAAAGTTTAAAAAAATCTTCAAGCACATCAAGTTTAATTTCTGCTCTTTGGGGGTTCATGCATGCCAGTTTGCAAACTGGCATCTTTTCAAATGAACGACTTTCCTCAAGTGAGTTATAATGTATGTTTTTGTTGGGATTATGCAGAAGAAAGTATGACTGTTCTAGGGGGCTTTGATTTTAAGTGTTCAGTACTAATTCTGAAGACGGAGTTCCGAAGAACTTCTATTTTTTTTTTTTTTTTTTTAGTTTCAACAAGGATAGGGTGATTTAGCCCTCAGTAGCAATAACAGGGAAGCCCCAGTGGTGTACTAGTTAAGAGCTCGGCTGCTAACCCAAAGGTCAGCAGTTCAGATTCACCAGGCGCTCCTTGGAAACCCCCTGGGGCAGTTCTACTCTGTCCTATAGGGTCGCTGTGAGTCCGAAGGACGTCAAGGGTAGGGTAGGTAGCAATAACAGGAAGCAGCACGTGCCGTGGTGTGTTGTTGGCTGTTCCACATTCTGTTCTCTCTCCTTGCATTGTGTCTGACGTGTGGACATCCAGTGCCAGATGTCTGCAGAATCAAAGTGACTCTGGAGGCAAATAAGGGCTTTGGGAGGCGAGAGCGTGTTAGAGGTGTTTCTTCCACAGAGCTAATTTAAACTGGGCTGCAGTTGTTGGAGTTAAAAAACTACCTTTCATTCATTCATTTTTGTTCTGTCTCTCAATTCACAAATAAACCATGCTGTTTCAATCTACCATTTGCGCTCTCTTGGAGCGTTTAGTAGCGGGTGCCAGCGCTTGGGGGTTTTGGTAATGATCTCTAGACAGACCCAAGGGCAGATAAGGAGTTGTTATGGTGTGGACATTTTCTGCAGGGCCAGCCTGGCACTCTGGCTGCCTGGAAGTTTCCTCGCTCTTTTCACTCACCTTATGTACTTAAATACTTTGCTGGGGCTTTTATATGGAGGAAGGGGATTGGGGAAGAGAAAACAGTGGACTCACATTGAGTCTCTTCGTCCAGATTTTTTTCTTAACTGGCAGATCTCTCAGTATTTTAAACAGCTGAAGTTTATAGTTTAATCTTGTCAATGAAAAAGTCAAGGTTATTCTCCTTAATTATTGCCCCAACTTTGACCTAATACTATAAAATTCATTTTAGAATGTAAGGGACTAATGTGGATTCAAAGCAAAATGAAACAAGACAAAACAAATAGCAATCCTTTATTCCAAGGCGGATGGATTCCTACTTTCGCCATTTTATTTTAGAGGTTGATGTGGATGTTACTTTTCATTTTAACAGTACAAATGGTATTCTCATCAATAACTTGACTCACCTTGGGTAGCAAGGAAACCAAGACGTTATAAAGAGCTAATGAATGTACAAAAGAGAATGCAGGTGCATTACTGTGAAGCAAATACGTTATTTGGAAACGTGTCTGCGGTTAGGCCAGGTGACTAAATATCTTTATGCCAGGAGGTAATATATGCTACCTTTACTTTTTAGGTGAAGCCAAAAATCTTCCCACTTACCCGGGGCCAAACAAGATGCGAGATTGCTACTGCACTGTGAACCTGGACCAAGAGGAGGTTTTCAGGACCAAAATAGTGGAAAAATCACTCTGGTAATGTCTTTTGTTGCTTTACTTATTAATGATATATTTTCTTCAGTATAAACAGTATCCTGAACACATATGCCATCTTGCCAGTTTTTTATGTTGGTTAGCTTGAGTGAGGTGGAAGAAATATTCCCATGAGCTCTTGCTTGCAGAATGGTTAAAGTTTGAGCTTCTATCCTTGGTGGTGAACTGGTATTTCCTTACTAAGTGCTCATAATACACATATGTAATTGCTTGTAATAACTCTCCTACCTGAACATTTAAAAGGACTTTTTAATTAGAGGTGGGTTGGAAAGTCTATATTGTAACAAAAGAGTACAAATCAAGAATTTTGAGAGGGGAAATATATTTGGAAAGCTTTTTTTACCATCTTCTTGTAAGATTTTCTAAAGAGGCATGCTTAAGATGGTCATCGAGTTAACTATGAACTGAGGTAAAAGGCATAGAAAATATGTACCAATATAATTTGATGAAGAGAGGAGTCTCTCAAGACTCCAAGAAAGGCCAACATGTAGTATGTCCTAAGGTTGAGCAGTTTGCTGTGTAACGCATCAGTGTTTCTCAAGTTTAGCTTATATAAGAATCATCTGGAGGGCCTGTTAAAACACAGACACCTACCCCAGGAGGTCTTGGGTGGGGCCCGAGAATTTGCATTTCTAGGTAGCTCCCAGGTGATGGTGATGTTACAGTTTCTTGGCCCACGTGTCGGATAAACACATTGCTGTTGAGCTGATTGTGACTCATAGTGACTTTATAAGACAGAGTAAAACTGCTCCATAGGGTTTCCAAGGAGTGGCTGGTGAATTTGAACTGCTGAGCTCTTCACCACACTGTAATATATCATGAAATGAAATGTGCCTGGCTGGGGGTGGGGGGGTGGTGCACATAGTGGTAGGAAGTGATGGTACCTTAAAAGTCACAGCAGCTTATATAGGAAATGAGAGGAGAGAAACCAGAAAAGAGAATTGTGAGGTGGCAGAACATTTCACTATCAACTGTGTTAGAAGATGGAATGAGAAATTAGGGGTTTGTAGTCCAGTGAGTCTCTGGGTGGTGCAAACGTTTAATGAACTTGGATGCTAACTGAAAGGTTAGTGGTTCAAGTCTACCCAGAGGCTCCTTGGAAGAAAGGCCTGGTCATCTAGTTCTGAAAAATCATCCATTGACAAACAACCCTATGGAATACAATTAAAGAGAATGTTGACATGTCATGAAAAATGTAATGTCACTGAACGATTTGTGTAGAAATTGTCAAATGGGGACCTAATTTCTTGTGTAAACTCTCACTGAAAACACAATAAAATATTATTAAAAAAAAAATGAAACAAACTTATGGTGCACAGTTCTACTCTGACACACATAGGGTCACCATGACTCACAATCAACTCAACGGCTTCGGATAAGGTAGTGGGAAGGGCAGGTTAAGTGTACTAATGAGTTATTTGTAATGAAGCAGTTCATGAAGCAAAGAAGACGTCTCTGCAGCCAGTGAATTCATCCTCAGGTTTAGAGTTATTGGTTGTGTGGTTTCATCAAAACAGCTATTTTGACTTGTGAACATTTGTAGTAGATGAATTATATCCTCGCATATTGCTACTTCTAAGTGGGGAAAAACAACACATTCTGATGATTTAATGAATTTAATTTTTACAAAACTGTTAAGGATCTCCTGCCACTGAAAGAGATTGGAAACATGTTTTAATCTCCTCCATATGCACCGTCACTGCTAATGACTCTTTTTAATACATTTTTGGTGATGCTGCTCCTAAGACCGAGTAATTATGGTTGTTTATGTTATTTTAATGCCTACTCCAGATTTTTTTGAAATATTTGTTGAAGAAAACTAAAAAAGACTGAAGAATAGCGTCAGACTTTAAAAGAATGCCTTTATGGTGTTGATGGTGAAGATAATGATGGAGGTGATAATTTCTCCTTAAGAAAAATGGAAATAATGATTACTATACCCCTCATGTTAGCTTGGAGTGCCGGTGGTGCAGTGGTTAAGAGCTACGGTTGCTAACCAAAAGGTTGGTAGTTCGAATCCACCAGCTGCTCCCTGAAATCCTATGGGGCAGTTCTACTCTGTATTTTCTGTATTTAAATAGCCTGATGTTAGAGGCCAGTGGATCACAAACCTGGTGAATTACTGGCAGTCTTTGTACAGCTGGGCTCTCCCGACCCTGGCTCCTCCTGGACCTACTAAATCAAAACCTCTGGAAATCTATTTAGGAACCTCTGTTTTAGGTGAGGTTGAGAAATGAGGGCCCATTGTCTTCAGAAATATCTCAGACAAGTTTAGAACTGGAAACAATGGTTTCTGGTTCCAGTGGCATTAGAAAATGTTCTTCTGGAGCAGGAAAGGGAGGCTGAGAGCGACATAAAAATAATGATGTAGTAAATACTGTCCCTGCTAGCAAATCATCGGTCAGTAATATAGCCAGAATCAGGTGGTAACTCCCCAAATGCCTTCATAAGAAACCAGTTAATGCTACGGTGAGTGCACCGAAGCTAATACGTTTGACTTACACAGAGCTTCTGACTCCTGTTCACAGACTATTTAATCTTTGTTTATTGTAGACAGTTTTAAGGAGCTCAGTTATTTTTTTCATTCATTAGTTCAATGAATACTTACTGAGCTCTTATCTGACATGCCAGATAAGGAGAGTGGCTACTGAGGGCAGAAAGAGTTAAAACTGACAGTAAAGAGAGAGACAAAAACCTTTACAGAATAGTTCCAAGAGCTTAAAAAAATATGAATGTGTGTGGCCATTTAACATTGGAACAAACAACCTTATTAACACTGATGGGCCTTGCAAGCTGGCACCCAACAAAGCTCTACTCTGAGTGTAACGGTGAAAAATAAATAAAGCCACCCTATAATAGAAGTTTGCAAGGAAACCTGCCTGTCTTCACTTGGTGCTAAATATTTGAAACCAAAAACTGGCTCTCACATGAGTTTATAGCCTGAATCCACACTACTTCTGTGGTCCAAAGAACTTCAATCTATGAATATAAATTAATGTAGCCTTGGCTTAGTAGTTTGTCACGCCCACTGAGGCAATGATATGCCAATCCAAAGTAAATTTATTTATTTCTGAAGGAACTCAGTTTAATCCAGCTCTCAAAGAATTCCTATACATGAAGTTCCAAGGTTGATGAGCTCAGAGCAGAAAATATATAAAGTGCACAAGGAAATAAAGCATCAGGTACAAGTGTCAACAAAAACAACAGCAGAAACAGACCTGCAGAGTTTGCCGATAATGGCATTATCCAACAAAGAATATGAAAAACCTAAGTTTAATGTATTTAAATTAATAAGAGACAAGCTTAAAAACATGAGCAGCAATAAGAAACCATAAAGACTGATCAAGCCAGTTTGAAAAAGAATCAAATATAATTTCTATAAGTGACAAACACAAGAATTTAAATGAAAAACTCAGTGAGTGAATTAGATAGTGGATTAGATGTAGTTGAAGAGAGAATTAGTAAATGAAAGATACATTTGAAGTACAGCTCAGAGAGACAAAGAAATGAAAGTATAAGAAGTTTAGAGACACAGAAGATGGAATGATGATGTCTCCTGGGAATTACAAAAGGGGAGAGGAGAGACAATGGTGGAGAGACCATATTTGAAAATAACCAGAGGAAACTGGTATTTCTGGTAAGATTCAACTTACATTCTTAAATGGCCTCAATTGGTGAGGGACAGAGCCTAGCGACGGAACACCAGTCTGGAGGCTCTGCCATAGATGAGACAAGAGAAGATGAAGGCCCAGATTCATATGATAGCTATGAGAATGGAAGGAAATGGACAGACTTGAGGGACAGTTATAAGGAAGGAGCTGAGTGGACGACATCATCAACACAAAGAATTTTCAACCCCTGGATAACTGAGGTGACCACATCCCAGGTTTTAGCCATTGCCTCCAAGGAAGCAGCTGCTGCCCTGTCTCTGCTGTGTCTCATGGTGGTGACTTCCAGGATATATATCTGACTTTTTCCCAGCACGTTTCCAGGATCAGCATTTCCTGTAAGATTTGATCATTCATTTGGCAAAGTCACTGTTGTTGTGTGCTGATTCCCACTTATAGCGACCCTATAAGACTAAGTAGAACTGCCCCATGGGGTTTCCTAGGCTGTAATCTTTATGGGAGCAGATCGCCAGGTCTTTTCTCCCATGGAGCCGCTGGTGGGTTCTAACCGTCAACCTTTTGGTTAGCAGCTGAGTGCTTAACCACTGCACCACCAGGGCCCTGAAGTCACAGTAGAACATACGAAAGCCTACAGCTGCATCTTTGAACTCAAGTACCCTTAGGATGGTGTTCTCTAGCTTTGGGGATTCCCAGCGTGGCAGGCCAGCTGGTCAAGGCCAGCAGTGCTGCACAGCCCTATGAGAAGGAGCAGTAAGGAGACCAAAATAACCAACAAAAGCCCCTTCTAATGTCCCTGAGGGTGGAGAAGTGTTTAGGACTGAGTTCAGCTAGCTGTTACCCAACATTGTCTTCTGACTCAACATGGAACTGCAAATGGAATGTGTGAGAAAGAAAAGAAAGAGAACCGATTTCTTCCTTCCTTTTCATTAAAAGAAGCTCCCAGTCAAAGCTCTACGGTATGTCCTCTGACAAGTCTCTCCCTATCTGTTAAATGAGGGGTGTGGCCACAGTTTTACTGTTAGAGCTAACATTTATGACAATAGGATCTACAGAGTATCATTATCAATTACTGTGCTAATATTTTAAAGGAAAAGTCCTCTTTTCTTTTTTTCTACCTGGGCCAGAGGAGGTTGGGCAATAGGATCTATGGCAGATTTACTTTTAAAAACTAATCAGAGCTGACACACTGAGGGGAAAAAGTGCCTTCTCTCCCTGTCCTTGTCCCTTCTCTAGCCAAATGATGTTGGGCAAAGTTTCTCTTCTACTAGGAAAAATGCTGTCCTTATGTTGAAAGGGACCTTTGTTCCCATGTTTAACTTTTTAGAGCAATAATTTTTTTAACCATTTAAATAG